TACAAGAAATGTATATTTATTGTCATAAAATGTCGTGTTTATACAGAGACAAAAAGTTATTTTCATTTAAAGATTCACTTTGACCTTTGTAATACAAAGGAATTGAGTCTTTGCCACAAACTCTGATTTTCTAATCACTATATCTTTAGAACCAAAATTTGTGGACCTTAGATATTTCAAACTATGAGTTCTGTTAAATCAAATAGTCAGAGTTTGAAATATCAAAGGTTTACAACATCGGGTGCTAAAGATATTGGGGTTTAAATATTTGATTTTGTTACAAAGACTCAATTCCTTTGTTTGTACGAGAACATATTATCATAATGTTAAAACATTAAATTTATCACGAATTCATAATGAATTATCTCTTACAAGTTTTGAAAGTTTTGCAAAATACATAAATTCATTGTTTTTTGAGGCACATTTTTAAATCTCTACTGGAAGATAACACCATAATTTTTATACCCAAACAATAAAAATATAATATAAAATTGGACAAAAATAAATTTATTTTGTAGGAATCTGAAGGTTTTTTGGGACAAACTAAAGAAAATCCCAAATCCCAAAGAAAATGGACAAAAAAGAAGATTTGTTTGATCATGTGTCTAGTTTGTGTTCTTTTAGTTCTCCTTGGTAAGTGATTGTTTTTAAATCTTCTATGAAAAGGACTGTCAAGTAAATGTTCAGTGACACTCCATTTATAGATTTACAAATTCAAATCACCATATAGTTTATTTAGCTACCCTGATGGAGTTATTCTTATTTTTCTATCTGAAAAATGATTGTATGCTATTGAGGTGACTTAGGATTTATGTAGAAGAAATAATAAAAGGAAATTAAGAACTTTTTTTATTTCCGAAACATGGCTAAAGGGTATCCTTGTGAATAGGGCATGTTTCCATGCGTCACTTTAAATTAAAGATCACTCCAAAACCCTTTCATGACATTTACCCCTTTAAACCCTCGGAAGATGACTTGAAATAAAAAGTCATTATATTAGCTAAACAAATAGTTCGGAAAGATACAATTTCACATTGTAAACAATTTTGTTAAAAAAAGGATAGCAGTTATGTTTTTAATCGTCTTTTGACCAACATTACAGAACTATGACTCCCCCGACAAATCAGGGATGTTAAGTTACTTAAAGTCCCCTGGGACAGTTAAGTTAAATAACGACCAGCACTCCGAAGTTTTGTAATAGAGTTCGCATATTTTCATCTCAAAAGACAATAAAATTGTGAAAACAACTTTTTCGAGAAATTTTACTTTTCCATGGGTTCTTTGTCAAGAAAACATGTCTTGGGAACCCATAAAATTCTCTTAACTTCCCTGTAAAGTAGTTGTAACTAGTTATTATATTATTATCATTCTCAAGAAGAAGCCCAGAAAAATAAGTTAAAAATGAGGAAGATATTGTCGTTAATATTTTCTTCTTTTTTTCTTTTCTTTGCCCAGACGAAAGGAAAATTATAGAATGGAGGTCCACTTGAAATTACGTGCTAAGTCCCTTTAATGCCTAACCAGGAAAATTATAAAATCAAGTTTTCTTTACTTTTATCATCATACTTCATTTATTGTTTACTTTGTGGCTTATCTAACGTATAAATTGCACAAAATGAACAGAAATTACATAATTTAAACGAACTTTACACGACATTATTTTTGGCTCAGTATCATAAGATATAATAACAAAAGATGGCTCAGTAACAAAAGAAAATAACAAACAGTTTGTTTATTTGAGCATCATATTTAGACTATTTTTTGTTTCATTTAAACTGTCTCTTATGTTTTTTTAAACTACTAGCCAGAGCGCTCGGTCCCTATCCTGTCCTAGCCGCAGCGCTCGGCCCAAAAAGTGTCTTAAACTAACCTAACCCTGGTTTAATACATACATTTGAACTATTTTTTGGTTCAATTGAACTATTTAAAGTTTATTTGAACCAGAAGATGTCTTATTTCAGGGTTAGGAAAGGTCAAGACTCATTCTGGGCCCAGGGCTACGGCTAGGACCGGCTAGGGGGCCAATTTACAGGGTTTCCCAATAAAGACACATGTTTAAAAAATTCTAAATCGTTTTTGTAAAAAAAGTCTGTTAAAGCTAGAAAAATTTTAATAAAAACTTTGCTTTTGATGCAAAACTTTACCTAATTTTTAAATGCAAATCAGAAAAAAGAACAACTTTTTAAAATTAACTTTTCATAATGTTAAGAGAAAAATATCTCGTCTTTAATGTGACAACACATTCTATTTTCTATTCTATATATTCTTTTTGTCGGAGGAGGTCCAATCTATATATTCTATTTGTCGGAGGAGGTCTAATCTATATATTCTAGTTGTCGGAGGAGGTCTAATCTATATATTCTAGTTGTCGGAGGAGGTCTAATCTAAATATTCTAGTTGTCGGAGGAGGTCTAATCTAAATATTCTAGTTGTCGGAGAAGGTCTTATCTATATATTCTAGTTGTCGGAGAAGGTCTAATTTAATATTCTAGTTGTCGGAGGAGGTCTAATCTATATATTCTAGTTGTCGGAGGAGGTCTAATCTATATATTCTAGTTGTCGGAGGAGGTCTAATCTATATATTCTAGTTGTCGGAGGAGGTCTAATCTAAATATTCTAGTTGTCGGAGGAGGTCTAATCTATATATTCTACTTGTCGGAGGAGGTCTAATCTGTATTCTAGTTGTCGGAGGAGGTCTAATCGATAAATTGTAGTTGTCGGAGGAGGTCTAATCTAAATATTCTAGTTGTCGGAGGAGGTCTTATCTGTATATTCTAGTTGTCGGAGGAGGTCTTATCTATATATTCTAGTTGTCGGAGAAGGTCTAATTTAATATTCTAGTTGTCGGAGGAGGTCTAATTTATATAATCTAGTTGTCGGAGGAGGTCTAATCTATATATTCTAGTTGTCGGAGGAGGTCTAATCTATATATTTTAGTTGTCGGAGGAGGTCTAATCCAAATATTCTAGTTGTCGGAGGAGGTCTTATCTATAAATATTCTAGTTGTCGGAGGAGGTCTTATCTATATATTCTAGTTGTCGGAGAAAGTCTAATCTATATATTCTAGTTGTCGGAGGAGGTCTAATCTATATATTCTAGTTGTCAGAGGAGGTCTTATCTATATATTCTAGTTGTCGGAGAAGGTCTAATCTATAAATTCTAGTTGTCGGAGGAGGTTTAATCTATATATTCTAGTTGTCGGAGGAGGTCTAATCTATATATTCTAGTTGTCGGAGGAGGTCTAATCTATATATTTACTCGTGGAAGTTTCGGAGGTAATTCTGATCATTGGGAGACTATTCTAGGAACAAGCTCTGGAGACCCTAATAAGGTAAAATTAAAACCCCCTTTTGAAAATAATATTTTCACCCCCTTGATAAAATGTAAGAATTTGTAAAAGTTTTGTTCCAAAATTGAATTGTATGAATAAATATGGGGAAATTAAATAATATTTTAGTGAAAAGGATTAAAGCATTCTAAATTCCTAAAATCCTAAAATACGTCTCGTAAATTAAAAGTATTGTTTTTAGGTTGATATAAACGGAGTTTTTGAGTTGGTTTCCTTCGATAGTAATTATGAAAAGTATCTCAAAGCAATGGGAATACCTTTTTTTGTACTTCCTCTTATTCTATCTTCGTAAGTTTTTTAGTTAAAAATTAATTAACATTAGAAAAATCTGGAAACTTTTAACCTGATTAAAATCGGATTAATTAATTAACAGTTTAAACCTCTTCAACATGCAAGATTAAGATGATAAGTATTTTTCAAAGGCTCTTTCCCAAGCGGCAACTTTCCAAGGATATTTTATCAAGTGGCAACTTCCTAGCTGTGCAATTTCCCAAGTGGCAACTTTCCAATTGTCTGTCCTAGCCGCAGTGCTCGGCCCCTTAGCCTGTTCTAGCCGCAATGTTTAGCCCCCTATCCCATCCTAGCCGCAGAGCTTGGCTCCCATTGCAACCTGCGTCGCCTCAGAGGGCCTAACCTAACCTTTAGGAAGTTAAGCCGTTAAGAAAATTGCACATTTGGGAAGTTATCACTTCTGAAATTGTCAATTGGGAAGAAGCCCTTGGGAAAATGCCTTTGGGAAAATACCTAACAACAAAATTAATATTAATATATCTCGAAATAGAATATGTTTACAGATTTTGAACATGAAATGATAGAAGGGGGGGGGGAGCTGAACACCCCCCCCTTCATCTAAAAATTGAATAATTTTAGATCTGAGAAAATATCTGTGGAGGTGGTGGTAGGGGGAGGGAAGGAAGGAGAAGATTTGGTCAAGATGAGAACGATAAATGGTATTTTTATTCTTTTAAACTACAGGGTTACCAATTACAATCTTAAGTCATTTTAATTTGAAAATAAATTTGGGAAAAGATGCTGAGATTATTGAGTTTTATTTCATCCAATGATTACTAACTTAGTATTCAGGGTTACCCGAAAAGAATAACAGTTTAAGATTGACCTTAAACTCTAAAGTTATGGCAAACTGAAGTCTAAATTTCAGTTTCTGCCTTGTATATAGTTTTATTATTAAACTAAATGATTTGTCATAGAGAGAAACAAGTTTATGGTTGCTGGGAACCAATAATGTAGGAAAACAGACTAAGTAAATTCCGTACAGCCGTCTCTGAAGTCTCATTCTTTGTGGGTAACACTGCAGATTCTGGAATATTTCTAAATTTGTGCAATGAGAACCACAAAGATGTGAAATAGGAAGACGACATTAGAGCATTAATTAAGTGTATTTACAAAGCAAATAGTTTTACTACTGACTTATTAAATCACTCATTCGGTGAACTTGGTCTGTTTACACTGCACAGTTTTCTGTGTTTCATATTCATTCATCTAGACCTGATGACCCGTGAGTCCGAGTTTGAGTTCAACAAGGAGTTCACCATGATCTACGGGAAAGGGAGCATGGAGGGGATCATGTACAATTTGTGTACTAGGAAACAGCATAATCTTATACATTGCAGGTACATAGTACACTACACAGTACAAAATGTGGTATATAGTAAACATGTACAATTTATGTACTTGGAAACAGCATAATCTTATACATTGCAGGTACATAGTACACTACACAGTACAAAATGTGGTATATAGTACACATGTACAATTTGTGTACTAGGAAACAGCATAATCTTATAAATTGCAGGTACATAGTACACTACACAGTACACAATGTGGTCTATAGTACACATGTACAATGTGTGTACTAGGAAACAGCATAATCGTATACATTGCAGGTACATAGTACACTACACAGTACGCAATGTGGTATATAGTACACATGAACTTGTTTACTAAGAAACAGCATAACTTCATACATTGCAGGTACATAGTCAAAGAGAATAGAATATATATTATAGTGGAATTTACTAGAAAAAAGTGTAAAACGGCCATTTTGTTGTTCTGTTTCCATACTGCAGGTGTACTTCACATATTTGTGCTATATAACCTTCTGGGCCCTGGAACATCATTTTATAGAAAATCTAAAATTGATATTAAAAGAAAACAAAATTATGAAATAGGCTGGTTTCATAATTGACCAATATGCCTTTCACTTTACAGCGATGATTTTCCGTTATAACTATAAATCAACTAATGTTTTTTATTCACCTAATTCATTTTACAAAGTCTAGGGAACATACTGTATTAATTTACTCTACTGCATATAATTTGTGAACATTCACATGATTTGTACACTTTGAACTCCCTTTCAGGCTGAAAGGGACTGACAAAATTCATAGCGAGGGTTTTTCTAAATTCCACTCTAATATATATTCTATTCTCTTTGTAAATAGTACACTATAGTACACAAGGGTGGTATATACTACACAATGGATAATGTACAAGTGATGCAGTCGGAAACACCATAACCTCACCTATTGCATCATAGTACACAAGGTATTAAAAACACAGTTCACTCAGTACATAGGGTACACAGTATACACAGAGCCCGAAATTTAAAAGAGTATCGTAGAACGAAACTACCAAGTTTCCTCAAAAATAAATCTGTTTTACCCTTAACAGAGAAACTAATTACAGTTAGATATCTATATATAAATTTGGCTTGTCTGTTTGTATCCAATAAACGTCAAAACGGCTGAACCAATCGGGCCCTTTGTGAAACATCACGTGACCACAGGGAAGGTTTATGAATGATAAAAATTTTAAAAAATGTCTTTTAGAGGTTTTTAATTTTGTAAAAAAAATTTAAATTCTTGAAAATCCGCGAATTTTTTTTTAAAAATCCGCAAATTTTTTTCTTCTTTGTTTTTAAATGTAAACAAAAAGAACATGTTCACAATTTAAATAGAAGATGGGCGCGAAGCGCCCTAAAAGTCTAGTATATTACAATTTCTGTTACAGAGCAATACTTCATTGTTCATAAACGGTTGTGAGAAAACTATGTAAAATGTTGACATAAATCCTCCCCATACACTTGTCCTGCGAAAGCGTACTGCATATTTGATGTTTGTACTTTATATCCTTTATCAGTTAACTGTCCATAGTGTACACTTGGGCTGTGTAGGCAGACAGGTACTGTACTTCCATCTCCCCTTTTTACTCTTTATTTTCTATGGTTTAGTTCGGAAGAGAGGAATAAGGGCTGGAAATTTGATTCCGAACTTGTTTTTACCGAGATTGGGATGATAAATACCAGATCCTTCCTTACGCAGGATATAGGTATATAAATATTTGTATTTGATATTTTTAAATATTAAAATAAACAGAAAACCAAAGTGAAAGCTTTTTATTCAAATATCTTTCTTTCTCTGTTTTCTTTTGAATAAATTTCTAAATCTTGAATTTATAACAGATTTTTTTAATTTTTGAAATCAATCCTACGTTTTGTGATTTTGTACGAAATATTTGTGATTTCGTACAAAATGTTTGTGATTTAATACAAATATTTGTGATTTTGTACAAAATATTTATGATTTTGGCACCATTGTAAATGGATAGTCACTTGAAATTACGCTTTTTACAATCATGAGAATATTGTCGTTGAAAATGTTCAGTCCAAGCATAAAAGGTAAAAAATTTAAATCAGACAAACTACTTGACAAATTAAGAGCCATTAAAAAGTACGTAGCTTCACAATCCTTTTAAATTAAAAGTCAGTTTTTTAAAAATAATTATTTTAATAATTTTTTCGATAATTATTTTAATAATTATTTCCAGTAACCAAGAAGTATTATGCTCGTGAAGGAGCAAAAGAACTGATTGAAAAACGAATGAGGTAAACTAGCTGCAGTTAGTTATGTGCATTTAGTTGGTTCGGTTTTTGCTTACAGTGAGAACTAGAAAACTATGGAATAGGAAGACGATTTTTAGTTATTAACTATTATCAAATAGCAATTGTATGAAGTCCTTTTCCACTGAATGAGTGATTTTATAAGTCCCAGGTAGAAATGGTTGCTTTGTACAAATATAAAATTCACATAATTATTGTTTTGCTGCTGTGTTCTTATTCCAAAGTTTTCTGGTTCTAACTGTATTACACATTCATTTTTAGTATTACACATTCATGTTTTAGTAAACCCATTCGGCCCTGTTTTAGTAAACCCATTCATCCCATCTTAAGTAAATACATTTAGCCCTGTTTTAGTAATCCCAGTCATCCCTGTTTTAGTAAATACATTTATCCCTGTTTTAGTAAATACATTTATCCCTGTTTGAGAAAATACGTTCATCCCTGTTTTATTAAACCCATTCATCCCTGTTTTAGTAAACTCATTCATCCCTGTTTTGGTAGTCTTTTCATCTTTATACGTGTTGGGAGACATTTTATAAAAAGATATTTCATAAATGAGATGAACAATAGATAAGAGATTTTTTTATCTTTTATCTTTTCAATTTTTTTGTTCTTTATTTTGGCGGTTTAAAACAAATACTTCTGTCTATGAACGGATTTCTCTATGAAATTTTATATTAATGATTATTAATTGTTCGTCCTGAAAATCTTATTTCAGGGTCAAAATTTGCATATTGTAATATGAGCAATATTTTAAAAATTGTTTATTAGTAAACACTAAACTAGCATTTATCCTGGTTTCTGTATGTATATCTGTTTATCGTTAATTGTGATGTGCTTTCAGTGTATTCGTTTTCATGTCGTTTTTTGCCTACATATTTTTTCAGGGAAAATATTTTGGCTTAGTGGATGTGGAATCCAAAAATGATGCAAAAACAGACATGTTGTAACGATCGGATCGTTTTTTAGTATAACAATATAAGTCATAAAAAAGCCAACTTTAACATAATAGCGTTTTGAAATATTTCAAGTTTTATCAATTTTATTTAAAAACGATTTAAATCAAATCGTGAAGCCATGGTGTTGACATTTTAAATAAAAAGATTTCAAAAATGAACATTTCATTGGCAACTTTTTTTACTGTTTCCTTTTTCCAATTTTCTCGTTCTTTAATTGGCTATTTACGAGAACAGATGTTTTTACAGTTTTCAAAACACTTAAATTTCATTAAAAGGTAAAAAACATCCGAACTTTTTACTTTGAATGAAAAACCTCATTAGAATTTAAAAAGCTCATTTTTAACAATGAAATTTAGTATTTTTTACCTTTCCATGCAATTTAGATATTTGTACATTTGTCAATTTGATGTTTCTTTCCGAACATGAAATTTAGATGTTTTTTACCTGTAGATGATAATTAGGCGTTTTTACTTAAAAATGAAATTTAAGAGTTTTAAACACTTAGGTGTCTCGGCACTTAGGCGTTTTGTTTTAGGTGTTTTTTTAATTTAGGTATTTTGAAGTGTGGGTGTTTAGTTGTTAGGTGTTTTGTACCCACTCCTTTTTTCTGTCAATGAATTTGTTTATTTTACGTGTATGATTTTGTTGATTTCTGAAATCTTCCAAAACCCCATTCATCCCTATCTCAATGTTTTAGTAAACGGGATGATACAGCTGTAACTCACGAGATGATGAATGACTGGGTGGATGAGTCCTGGATAGAGAATGAGGATGGATGGTTAGAAGAAGATTCAGATTTCTAGAAATTACATTTTTATAATAAAGTAAGAACCAGAAAACTCTGGAATAGGCCAAGTTGACTTTTAGACTCAAGTTATGTCTTAAAATAGTCCAATGAACAGGAGACATAGCAATTGTGCAGTGTAAACAGACCTAATTCACTTCGTAAAGGACTTTATTACTTACTAATAAACCTTTTGTTTTAACAGCATAAAATGCACTTCAGTGTTGCTTTAACGTCGTCTTCTTATTCCCCAGTTTTATGGTTATCCCTGTATGTGCCCATGATATATTAAACACCCTTTATTGCCAGTTTTGTAAAATCTTGCCGTCATGTACCTTCAAATTCTTTCGAGGTCATAGTTTCCACGTCAAACTGAAGTAAATTTCTAGGTTATAGTTTCCACGTCAAACTGAAGTGAATTTCTAGGTTATAGTTTCCACGTCAAACTGAAGTCAATTTCTAGGTTATAGTTTCCACGTAAAACTGAAGTGAATTTCGAGGTTATAGTTTCCACGTAAAACTGAAGTGAATTTCGAGGTTATAGTTTCCCAAGTCAAACTGAAGTGAATTTCGAGGTTATAGTTTCCCAAGTCAAACTAAAGTGAATTTCGAGGTTACAGTTTCCCAATTCAAACTAAAGTGAATTTCGAGGTTATAGTTTCCCAAGTCAAACTAAAGTGAATTTCGAGGTTATAGTTTCCCAAGTCAAACTAAAGTGGATTTCGAGGTTATAGTTTCCCAAGTCAAACTAAAGTGGATTTCGAGGTTATAGTTTCCCAAGTCAAACTAAAGTGAATTTCTAGGTTATAGTTTCCACGTCAAACTAAAGTGGATTTCTAGGTTGTAGTTTCCACGTCAAACTGAAGTAAATTTCATGCTAAATTGAGAATATTAAAGGCTTTCAATCTTAACTTTTCTTATTGAAGACCTCTTGAAGAATCACAAAAAACTTTTTAATTTCTTTTATGAAACTGGATAAATATACTTTCCGCATATTTGTGCGTAATATCTAAACTTGAGAACCTACGGGGTCACAAAGTTGGAACAGTAATGCATCATAAGTTTGTCCTCCTAATATCTAGTTTAGTGTAAATATTTTCCCCTACCGTAAAGATATTATGATTCTATACCTGTAAAGCGATTTTCCCTCCCTTACCCAGCTTTGAACATTGCTCTGAAGGTGGCCATTATCAATTGTTCCAAAATTGTTTTTTGTTAAAATTGCATGGCGAATTTTTAAAATATTAAATGTCGACATTTCATTCTCGGGTATAATTTTTTATTTCGACTAGCCATAAACCTTTCCTGTAGAATGTGAGGTGCCTCAAAAAAAATGAACCCAATCGGTTCAAGCTTAATGAGGATACGAACAGACAACTCACTGGTCAATAATATATATAAATTTATGTCAGACAACATCTCTTGTTCGTAGAAAAATCGCTTTATTTTTGGCCAATACAAAAACAAATGCAGTCGTCTTTTCTTAAAAAATCAAGATTAATGTAATTTTTCAAATTCAGTCAAGATATGTGGAGCCAACCTTTTTACGACAATTAAAAAAATATGTTACGGTTTTTATTCACACAAGAAAGCTTTGAGATTGTAAGTTTCATGGTTGTCATATAAAAAGTTTTCAATAATAGATTTCAGTTTGTTTAACCCCGGAAGATGTATTTATTTCGATTTGTATAAAATGTATTCATAAAAAACCCAAAAACCTGCAAATTTTACGTACAATTTGTACTTTCTTTACAAATATATTATTATTTTTACTGAAAAATAATATTCTAAACATTTTATTATTTGATCAAATCTTTATCTGACACGAATTCAAGAAAAAGTTCAAAATAAATTATTTTTGCAGACGCATATGATAACCTTTATTTCTGGCCTCATAGACTCAGATGCTGGCAAAATATTGTTTAGACTGCAGTCTTTAATCTGAGTAACGACGCACTTTGGTAATAAACGTACATTTGTATATTATGTATAATTAATAAAGCTGTATATACGTATATTTTTTAAGTTTTCTATACATTGTGCACTAAATACTTATTGTTTTCTTTTAAAGTTCATAAAAATAAATATGTTTTTACTTAACTCAAGAATATCAATTAACTGGGGAAAGTTGGTTCTTTTCTTAAGATCGGATTAGACGTAATTTACTTTAAGGTATTGCAAAATGTAATAGTAATTTCAAGTGACCTTCTATGAAAAGATAGCAATGCCTGAATAACACAGGGAATAGGAATAAAGATAAAGGAAATGGCGCTGGTCTTGCATGAGAAAGCCAGTCGCATATTGCTTTGCAGACGATTTCGGTATTCCTTACACACACTTTTATGGTATAAACACACAACATGACTACAGCCAAGGAAATTGTAGAACAATGTTGTCAATTATAATTAAGCTTGAATAACGACTAGTTTATTGTAAACTTTAATCAAATTCTATTCTTGGCATTAAAATTTCGCTTATATAGTTGTTACTTAAATATGTAAATTATATATTACTGATTTGTTAAACTCATTTTTAAGTAAACAATTAACAATAAACAAATGTACTCTCCTAGACTGTACAAATACCAAAATTCGTATGTACCGTATATACCTACAGTGCACACCTTCGGTACGGTAAACTTTACACTCTTTTGGAACAGACACACAGACATGACGTTTCCGCCCCCTGACAGTGGATATTCGGATTAAGTAGTTGAGATTAAAGGTTATCCATTCTAAAGTTCCCAGCTCTGCACTGGCCAAATATGAATTAGTTATCAATGTATCATTTACTTTCAGACAAATTAGAAACAATGGAAATTTTAACCCCGAGGGATTCAATGATAAACCCGAGGGCGTAAGCCCAAGGGTAATCGAAATGTTTTAATCTTAAAAAATCGAAATACTGTTTTGAGAAAAACTTATTCAAATCCCAGAATGTCTAATGAATTCTAAATTTGTTGAAAACTTAACATTCCGCATTCTTTATTCAATATTAATTATAAAAAAAGCTTATTTACACAAAAACAAACGATAGCCAACATGTTAAAACTTTTCATAATAACATACTTAGAAGTCTAAATGTACGCTTGGAACTTTGAAATGTGATTGATCAATGATCATCAAAAGCTTGACAAAACATAAACTTTGAAACAAGTGTTTAACCTACAGTACTATGAAAACCCAGAAAACGAATGCATCAAATTAGAATATCATCTTTTAAAAAATACAAACAGCGAATCAGACCAAACAAATTTTAAAAATAAAAAATTACAATATTTCCATCAAATCGATAGTTTTAAAATTTATATTTATGGATAAAATGTAACGAAAAGTATCCAAAAAGGTGTGAAACATCCCGTCACTGGGGTAATAAATTCCGAAAAATAAATTTCTGAGTCATGACGACCGTTCAGGACTTAAATTGAGTAGAAATCTTCTTATCTGCCTACTTAAACTCTATTTGAGAAGAAATCTTCTAATCTGCTTCCTTCAACTCATACAGATTGCCAGAAGAACATCGAGCACAGAGAGCTAGATCATAACTCATAAACTGGTTTACATGTACCTAGGAAATATTTTTATTAATAACTATAATATTAAAAACTATGAAGCACTTTTTAGATTAAAATGCTTAAATTCATGTTGCACCAGTTCTATAGTTTTCTTTGATACAAATTAAAAAAAAATATTTTCATCATTTTCAAAAAATTCCTTGAGAAGAAAGAAAAACCCGTTTGAAAAAATATTTGTCAGTGTATATTATTAACCAGTTTTAAACCTTTAACAAAATAATTTGTAAACTATCGAAAAGTAGACAAATGGACGCTGTTCAGCGGTGAAAGGCGTAACTTTTGATACATTTCAACAAGTTTTGAAAAAAATGAGAATCAACATATCCTAATGATCTCTGTTTTTATAATCGTTAGTTACTGAATAAGTTGATTTTGTTAACAATTTTTTGTTCATTCGGTCTTTTAATAATTTATTTGGTCTTTTGCTAATTCTTACAGTAATTTGTTAATTCATTCGGTCTTTTGCTAATTCATTTGGTCTTTTGCTAATTCATCCCGTCTTTTGCTAATTCATCCAGTCTTTTGCTAATTTATTCGGTCTTTTGCTAATTCTTTCGGTCTTTTGTTAATTCATTCGGTCTTTTGCTAATTCATCCCGTCTTTTGCTAATTCATCTAGTCTTTTGCTAATTTATTCGGTCTTTTGCTAATTCTTTCAGTCTTTTGTTAATTCATTCGGTCTTTTGCTAATTCATTCGGTCTTTTGATAATTCATTCATTCTTTTGCTAATTCATTTGGTCTTTTGATAATTCATTCAGTCCTTTGCTAATTCTTTCAGTCTTTTGCTAATTCATTTGGTCTTTTGCTAATTCATTTGGTCTTTTGCTAGTTAAAAATAAGCAAAAAAAAAGAGAAAAGGAAAACATTTAAGAAAATCAAATGAAGATCATCAATAAATTTTCGGGGTAAAATTAGTTTATTATTTTGTATAATTTTTTTAAAATTTTTCCTTCCCAACTTTTCGATGGAAAATAAGTTCAATTAATCTCCTTCTGAACAATAATTCAACGTCAATTTCCTAACATGCAAGAAACTTGACGTCAATCAAAAGTGACAATGAAAGGTGCTGAAGTCGTAATTTCAAGTGACACTTTATTCACAACAATAACATTCAAAGCTTTGTCTGATCAAGTATGAATTAGTTATCCATGATAATGATTTTGAAAACTGATTAACTTCAATTGGGGGTTCTCGGTTCTCTACAAATTGCCCATTTCTGCAGCAATAAAACAGTGTAGGAGTTCAGAGAATTTAACAATGTTCATGCTAGGATACCGTTACCCCTCTTTTAAGAGTCTCTGGAAATTCCCTTTAAGAAACATAAGCGAGGCTTTAATTTGAGACACGTATCAAATATGATTGGTTCCACTTAAAATTGTATTCAATGTTTCTAGATTTCAGCTCAATTGAAACCGGTTTTTGGCGGATTTAAGACGCGGCTCAAATTCATTAAATTTGGACTCAGGTTTTCTTACTTCAATAATTACCTTGCACACAGTTTTGACTCTACTATATGGATGCGTTTTTGTACAATCTGTACATAACACCAATGTTTGAGGTCTGCTGCAAGTACAGGCACTCCTAAAAAAAATTGTTAGCGCTATACCAGTTTAAAATATCTTTTCAGATACGGTTCGAATTTTAAATTTGGACAGCAGAGTGGGATAAAGGTTATATAGACCTGTACCCATTTTTGACAATTGTACTAGTAGAGGTGCTGGTGACAAAATTACAACAAAAATAAGAAAATCTTAATTAAAAAATCATATTAATCATATTAAAATGTGAAACATGCGTTTATATCCATCAACAACTTTCCAAAAATGTTAATTTTAGGTAAGTAGCTTGAGAATTATAATATAAAAATAAGTCTTGTTGAAAAAATAAATTTTCACCAACCTTGACATTTCCTCAGTAATAGAAAGTTTAGCAAACGAAGCACAAATTAGATCAATCGTGTCTGGACATTGCTTTCTTGTTTTCATTGGGGTAGAACCTTTGATCAACAGAGTTGATGGGTTTGGGGAGAATGTCAGTTCAAGATTAGGAGTTAAAATTGGAGCTTTTGGTGGAGTCTCAGATGGATGTGGAACTGATTGTATTGATCGGGAAAAAATTTCGACTTTATCATGAGCTTCTACAAGTGATGATGAATTCTTCACAGTTGAAGAAGCGACATGGTATGTTGTTTCAAACTTAGGATCTAAGGAAGCAAAGATAGCTGTGACTTTGGTACAATATTTAGATGAGGAGATTTTTGAAGAAGTGTCAGGTGGAACAGAATTACAATCTACATCTATAGATACTCCTGAACATGTAGTTGGAGATTTTAAAGATGTACCAGTATTATCAGCTGGAACTGAAGTATGATCTACATCTGTAGATACTACTGAACATATGGTTGGAGATTTTGTAGATGCAATAGTATCATCAGCTGGAACTGAAGTATGATCTACATCTGTAGATACTCCTGAGCATATGGTTGGAAATTTTGTAGATGCATTTGTAATATCAGCTGGAACTAAAGAATTATCTACATCTGATGATTTCACGGAATATGCGTCAGAAGATTTTGTAGAATCAGATATTAAATGTGCTGAAACATTTTCTGCAGACTTGAAAGCTTTAGCCATAGTGGGAGTAGTAGTAGGGTCTAAAGATACTAGTGAAGCAGTGGTTTGAAATATTGGCGAGGAACCAGAAGTAGAAGCTGGCGCTGAAGAAAGAGCTGTGGAAGGTGATACATCTGGAAGGGTTACTTTGCCTTGGACATCTACTGAGGGTAAAAACTTAATGTCAGAGTTAGGAGCAGAAGTGTTTACTTGATCCTGGAAAGGGTCTACATTTTCAAAGAATTTTAGAGATGGAGAAAGGATTGTTTTATCCTCAGATGCAAGAGAAGTCAGAAGAGATTTTACATCAATATCAGCGGAAGGTGTTGAAATCACATCAGGTGGAGGGGTAGGACTAGAAGACAAAACTTGAACTAATGCGTTAGAAAGAGCTTCTGCTAAATATGGGGAAAAGGTTGCTTCAGATTCTTCAACAAATCGTAGAACTTGACTTAAAGCTTGTCCTAGGGCTTGTGCCAATGATGAGTCAGGAACTAGTTCTAATGCCTCTTTCATAACTTGCACAAAAGTGGAAGCAATTGCTGCAATCTGTGCCATGATGGTAGAATACTCTGCTGTTTTATCTAAACAAATCATAAAATGTAATGGAAAATAAAAGCGTAAAACTTGTTTCCTCTAAAAAATATCGATTACCAAAGTGAATAAGAGCGGTATCAGAACAGGATATTTGTCTGTCCAGAACCTACAAGGAGAACAATCTTTTTTAAACATTTAAGATCATTCAACTTAAAGTTTATTTTGTGTAGGAGATCACATAATGCTGTATAATTTAATAACTGATTAATTGTGCTTTATTCAATAACTGTTTAAGTGTGCTATATTCAATAACTTTTAAGTGTGCTATATTCAATAACTGTTTAAGTGTGCTATATTCAATAACTGTTTATGATTCAATAACTGTTTAAGTGTGCTATATTCAATAACTGTTTATGATTCAATAACTGTTAAAGTGTACTTGATTCATCAACTGTGCAAGTGCTTGATTCAATAACTGTTCAAGTGTGCATGATTCAATAGCTGTTTAAGTGTGCTTGATTCAATGTGCTTGATTCAATAACTGGTTTAGTGTGAATGATTCAATAACTGTTTAAATGTTCTTGATTCAGTAACTGTTTATGTGAGTATTATTCAATAACTGTTTAAGTGTCCTTGATTCAATAACTGTTTAATTGTGTTTGATTTTATAACTGTTTAATTGTGTTTGATTTTATAACTGTTTAAGTGTGCATGTTACAATATCTGTTTTAGTGTGCTTGATTCAATACCTGTTTTAGTGTGCTTGATTTAATGACTATTTAAGTGTGCTTATTTCAATAACTGTTTAAGTGTGCTTGATTCAATAGCTGTTTGAGTGTGAATGATTAAATGACTGTTTAAGTGTTCTTGAATCAGTAACTGTTCAGTTGTGCTTGATTCAATAACTGTTTAAATGTTCTTGATTTAGTTACTGTTTAAGTGAGCATGATTCAATAACTGTTTAAATGTGCTTGATTTCATAACTAAGTGTGCATAATTCAATAACTGCTACTTGATTCAATAATTGTTTATATGTGCTTGATTCAATAACTGTGTAAGTGTGCATGATACAATAATTGTTTATGTGTGCTTGATTCAATAACTGTGTAAGTGTGCATNTTGATTCAATAACTGTTTAAGTGTGCTTGATTCAAATCTGTTTTATTGAGCATGATTCAATGATTACTTTTCATTCCTGATTGGAAATAAAAAGCATCCTTTAAAACAATAAAACTAATTTCCACCTTGTTTTCCTTTCCATTCTCTGAGCTAATCCTGTGGTTTACTTCATTTTCTTCATCATCTGAGCTACTCCAGTCCGAGTAATTAAATATCTCATCATCTAGGACAATTAATTCCTTCAAGAATGACATCTTAAAATCTTATTCCTGTTGGAAAGTTTAAAAAATCATTATGGACATTCTTTCCTTCACCTTATTTATTACACTTAAAAGAAAATACAAAACTTATTCTTTATTTACTGAATATCACATTAGTTCAAAAGTTGCATGATTTGAACCAGTACAAGGATGTCGATCTATTCTTTACCGTAACACCTTGTCTAATCTAGTATTTGATGAACAAACGCGTTTTACGCAACAGAATGAAATGGACATGAAAATGTGGTCAGCTTTGGATAGTTGGGTATGATTACACCACAAATATATCTTTCATAAATGTTTATTCCCATGAAATAATATTAATCTAAAAATATATTTTAACCTGGTCTGCAGGGTTTAAATGTCAAATAATCCTCTCCACTACTCTCATAAAAGCAGCATTCATTCTAGAAATATAATTTTTTTTCTTTAAATATCGATCTTCTTTGATTCTTCCCATCATAAATCTTGAACCTCAGCTAAATACCAATTTGGGAATACATTTAAACTACAGGATTGTTCCTCGTTGGGGTTTAAATCTTGATACATAACTGGTCAATTCTAACGGTTCAATTCTGACAATTTAGAATTCCAGAGAAAGCTGTGTATTGTGTAACTAACAGAACTTATACTTGTTACATATGCAATAATTTGGAAAAAATTGACAGCATGTTGCACCTAGTTTTATGTAGCTTCTACTTCTAGGGGGTCATAATTGTTGTTCGGGTAAGAAAGATTAATTCCTTAAACTGAGTAGTTTTGCATTCTAACAACTCAGGATAGGTTTCTCCAGACATTGCAGTTGTCAAAGAGATCTTTTAAAAAATTGGTTTAAACTACTTTTTGTCTAACCTTCAATGTGCTGAGAAGATATCCTTCAATGTTTACTTGTACTCCAACAGAATCTGTAGCCACCTGTTGTCATCGGATTATACAAAAAAACCAATGATCTGTTGAAAAATTTCAATAAAATTTCAAAACAAGGGAAAAAAATATCTTTTTTAAGGGGTCGGGGGCCCAGGGAAACTAAAAATCTACTTTTTAAACGAAACTGTCAGAGCATTGTATATTGTATAACCTTACCTGTGGATGTGAAGATGTAGATTCACACTGGGTTGAAGCATTGGTATACTTGACTGGCTTGTCCGAAATGCTGAAGGACTTGAGATACTTAAAAGGCTTGTCTGAGTTGTTAGAGGGCTTTGGATCTATCACTGGCTTGACAAGGTTATTGGAAGACATTGTATCCATCACTGACTTGACTAAAGTATTTAAGGACGTTAGATCCTTCTCTGGCTTGACTAAATTTTTGAAGGACATTTGATCTACCCGTGCCTTGACTACACTATTGGAGGACATTGGATCCATAACTGGCTTCACTATACTATTTAAGGATATTCGACCCTTCACTGGCTTATCTAGGCTATTTAAGGACAAAACATCCTTCACTGGCTTGTCTATGTTGAAGGACATAAGATCCTTTGCTGGCTTGTCTATGTTGAAGGATATTAGATCCATCCCTGGCTTGTCTGCATTGTTGAAGTTGGTAAGATCCTTCATGCTAACATTGCTAGTTGTAAGATAATTGCTTCCAGAATTGGGTTTTTGTTTCAACTGGGAAGATTCAGTTCCATTTGATTCCTTTTCCCTGGTTAAGTATATTTGTATATTGTATAAGTTCAGTTTAATTTGTTACATAAATGATTCCCAATCCCAATATTACCCTTGGAAACTTTGTTACAGCAACAATTCTTTACCAACAAAAATAACTATTTATAAAAAAAGCCTCTTTGATTTTTTGTTGGTAACTGCTCTTTGGTCCTTGATGTTTGAACACTTTGTACATTGTGAAGTGATGCAGGTTTTGAGGCAGTTGTTTTCCCTGTTTATGTTACAAATTGTTTAATAGTTACTTGTAGGATTCATTCACCCGGTAGGATACCTTCAAACCTTGGACTGAGCTAAATTCTCAAAATATCCTTGTTTTTTAAGTGGAAGTTATTATTTTTCAATTGTTGCAGATTAATTCAACACACAGAAAAACAGAAAAACAAAAAAATTGTGATTCTGCATCTTTTTTACTCAGGTAAAGGTTTAAAGTTTTTGATTCAGATGGACAGTAGCTTGGAAAACATAAATCCCAGCATTAATAATAAAATAAATAAAATAATTTAATCGATCTTTTTAGTCTATGTTACCCCCGGGGTACCCACTGCTCATGGTTTCCCTAAAAAAAAATTCAGCCAATTTGTTCCAGCTGTTTGGCCAGCTTTAGTTAACATAATAATCAGGGGTGTAAAAAGTAAAGAAATCAAAGACCCAAGAAGAGGAAAGATAAAGAGGAAGGAAAAGAGAAAGGAAAAGGGGAAGGAAAAGTATCTATCTAGGCAGCTTCTCCAACTCGATATCTCATTTAGCTGCTCCAGTTCAGTGTCTCTTACACTAAAATCTTAGCTGCTACTCCATCTGCTTCCGGAGTCTCCGTTAACTGTTCTTCCAATCTGAGATGCTCTTACTATGTTCTCAGCTGCTTTCCTTTATTACCAGGGCTGCTCCTAGAGTCTATGCTATGTTAGCTGTGCATTACCGGAGCTGCTCCTAGAGCGTCTGCTATGTTAGCTGTGCATTATTGAAGTTGCCCCTAAAGTCACTGCTGCTTTAGTTGTATTTACAGTTTGAGCTACTCCCAGCGCTATTCACAGAGTCTCTTTTATGTTAGCCTTACTTACAGTTCGAGGTGCTCCTAGAGTCTCTGCTTTGTTAGCCTTACTCGCAGTTCGAGGTGCTCCTAGAGTCTCTGTTGTGATACCATAGTTGTCATTGTTATTGTTATCATCATTGTTGTCATCATTGTCATCCTCATTGTAATCCTCACTGTCATCCTCACTGTCATCCTCATTGTTATCATCATTGTTATTATCATTGTTATCCTCTTTGTTATCCACATTGTTATCATCATTGATATCCTGATTGTCATCCTCATTGTTGTCCTCATTAGATCTGTAAAGAGCTGTTCTACAATGAGTGGCGTCTCCGTTCTCAGAATCCTCTGGTTCCGCTAGTGGTTCCACAGCAGGTAAGTGAAGAGCTGTTCCACAATGAGTGGAGTCTCCGTTCTCAGAATCCTCTGGTTTCACTAGTGGTTACACAACAGGTCTGTTAAGAGCTGTTCCACAATGAGTGGCGTCTCTGTTCTCAGAATCCTCTGGTTCCGCTAGTGGTTCCACGACAGGTCTAGCTTCTGCTCCTGGAGTCCTTAGTCTGACTAGATCTTCTAGCTGTTCCAGATATGTGAAGAGCTGTCTGTAAAGATCAGCTTCTCAAGTCTCAGGTGTAGGCGGCATCTGATATCTTGAGTATCCTGGTCCTCCTCTGTATCCAGGATATTCCAGTGGGTAGTTCAGACGGGTTGGTAAAAAGCAATTGATAAGCCTGACTAGATCTTCTAGCTACTCCAGATATATGAAGAGCTGTCTGTAAAAATTAGTTTCTCCTCTGTATGCAGGATATTCCAGTGGGTAGTTCAGACTGGCTGGTAAGAAAGCAAATTGTCCAGTTCTAAAAGCTACAGGATATGAATCCCTTGACGAGGTCTATATTGGTTTTCTAGCTGCTCCATATCTTGGGGGGTCTCCATTGAGAGGAGATGGAGCTACTACATGTCCTAGTTCGTTTGTATCCTGAATATCCTAGAAGTCTTAGTTCCCATGTGTCCTGAATATCTATAGTTCTCCTGTATGTCCTGGAAGTCCTAGTTCTCCTGTGTGTCCTGGAAGTCCTAGTTGCTATGTGTCATGGACATCCTACATCTTTTATGTGTCCTGGATATCCTACGTGTCCAGAGCTGGAAACTTTAGAATGGGATATCCTGAATCCCAATAAGTTAATTAATCTGGAGATTAATAACAAGAGGCAAACAAGCATTATTTAATCTTGAGATTAAGAAAAAGAGAGAATCAAGCATTGATCAAAATATCCATCATTCTAAAGTTTTCAGGTCTGGATATCCTAGTTCTCTTATGTGTCCTGCAGCTATTGTTATCACAGATATGTGCAGAGCTGCTCTGCAATGAGTGGCGTCTCTGTACTCGGAATCCTCTGGTTCTGCTGCTTCTACAAAGGTGTGATGGAGAGCTGTCTGCAACAAGCAGATGGAACTTCTTCACGTCCTAGCTGTTCTAAATCTCAAGTATTCCTATTACATGAACCATCTTGAGGACCTAGAGCTTCATTTGGTCCACTTTAATCTGTAGTTGGACTAGCCGGGGCTGTTACAATCTCCACCGTGCTAGAAAATTATGTACAGAGGTCCCTTGGGGATGCTGATAATTCTGAAGAGGCATCCTCTGGGATATTGATGGGGCAGGAGGCTGGTGTCCTTCTTGGTACTCGAGTAGGCATATATACAATCCTGAGAGCTGTCAATGAAGTAAAAGTCCCCAGGCCTGAAGTGGGACCAACAGAGCATAGGCTTAAACGTCAATCCTGTATAAGATCCTGGAGTGTATTGATCCTATTCTCCAGGTTCTCTGACAACTTAGTCAGACAAAGGGTTGAGGGTTTTGCATCAGGTCATTAATTACTACAGTAACATTGGAAGAAAGGGAAGAGTTAGGAAGGGGGAAAGGTTTGGAAGGGGAAAGAAGGGAAGTGGATGGGATGTGATAGGTAGGGTAGGGGATAGGTAGGGAAGGGGATAGGTAGGAAAGGGGATAGGTAGGGAAGAAGAGTGGAAGATTGAGAGGGAAAGAGGTATATAGGAATTAGGGAACTAAGGAAGGCAGGGAAAGGAAAAGAAAGGTTAAAAGGTTAAGGAAGNTAAACTTTTATATTGTTTAATGTAATTTTGCTTTAGACAAAAATAAATGATAAATAATAGTTACTTACATCAGATGCCATTGCTCCATGTTTCCTTGTTTCCATAATTTTCTCCACTCTCGGTCCGTACACCTCCCAACCATCTTTAGTTATATGAACTATCCTAATACATCAAAATTATTTAGACTGTTTGGCTATTTGTTTAAGTTTAGTCTTGCAAAATTTATATAATTATTCTTTTCAGCATATTGAATCTTTTGTAAATTCAGGGAAAAATGAAAAATAATTCCCCTCCTTGTCTTCAAAAATCATTTTACTTTTGTGTTTTATAAGTGCTGACAGGAGGACATAGAGTAGATAAGAACTTCCAAATGACCCATAAATGTAGAAAAATTAGATTGATTATTATGTGGAACAGAACTTCACATTATTGAGAAATATGCTCTCACCTGTTGTTGTTAATATCATGTTCTCTTAAAAACTCAGTTATTTCAGAAGCAAGAAAGTTGTCAGCAGATCTAAAATTGAGAAAAATAAAATTAGTTGCTAGCATCCATCTCATCTTGATACAGATTCAGAGCTTAATCCTAGCTATGCCCTGAAAAAAAAACCATATCAGGATCCAGGTCTTACCTTTTCTTCAAGATTAACTGGTTTTTTGAGCAGAAACATTTTCCTCTGTTTTGCTTTTTTATGCTGAAGCTTTAAGAACCATTCAGAGATTAGGAAGTTTAAATTATGCTCTAATTAGTTACCAATTGAAATTTGAGTTTTTGAGAGAAACATTTTTTTCTATCAGGATTTGGTTGGTATTTTGCCCCTAGCACTGAATTAAAACTTTTCAATTATTAAAATTGACCTTCTTTCTCTCTTTTTTTATATAATTGTCAATCCATTTAGAAATTCTGACTTATCTCTGTTTCCAAGACTCTGAGTTGACAATTTTAATAAAGTTTAGTTTGTTTTGTGCTTTGGATCTGGATCTGGATCTGCAAAATTATGTAGATTCCCAAATTTGGTTTTAAATAACAAGCAAAAACTGTAAGAAAAACTTTTTGCTCTCAAACCCCAAATCTGAACTGCTAAAAAAAGCAATCATTAAAAAATTCCTTAATGAAGTTTTAGAAACATTGAAATAAAGAAAAAAAAGAAGAAATGATTTAAGTATATACACATAAGTAAAGAGATTTATTATATAAATAAAAAATAAAATAAAAATTGTACCTGTAAATTCTTGCTGAGGGTTCAACCAACTTTAAATGTTTCAGTCCATAAATGTAACTAAACATTAAACAACAATTCATATCATTATTTTCATTTTCCACTTGATTAGGACAAATTTAAATTGTAAAACAAACACAAAGGATTGTTACTAAAAATAAATGATAAATTCTACTTCTACTAACTGAACTAAATATATATGGGAAAAAAATTTAGCAAATACCTTTTAGAAATTTGAATAATTCTAAGATCTAGTTTATCAACCCAGTCCTTAGGCAGATCTTCTTTGTACTCAATTCTATAAATCTTCTCAACCTTAGTAAGAAAAAGGTCTTGAATAGGAGTGAACATATAAAGAATTTCCCCTCCCCTTGAGGGGGCAAAGATAACCAAAGATTATGGGTAACTCTGTAGTCTGTATCTGTATCTATACATATCATATATACTTTGCTAGTCTGGTGTCTGTTTGTTTGTTTGTATCAAATCAACGTCAAAACAGCTGAACNTCTGAGTTGACAATTTTAATAAGGTTTTGTTTGTTTTGTGCATTGGATCTGGATCTGCAAAATTATGTAGATTCCCAAATTTGGTTTTAAATAACAAGCAAAAACTGTAAGAAAAACTTTTTGCTCTCAAACCCCAAATCTGAACTGCTAAAAAAAGCAATCATTAAAAAATTCCTTAATGAAGTTTTAGAAACATTGAAATAAAGAAACAAAAGAAAATAATTTAATAGATCTTTTTTGTTAAAATATTAGTAAATCTTACAGAATTGACCATGACCTGGATCCAGATCCAGATTTGGATTTTGATCCGCTCAAATAAAATTAATCCTATGCACTGCATGGTTTGATACCTATTTCCAGCCAAACTGAAACCTTTACCAAGACAAAACCTATTTGAAAATATTTTTATTGCCTGCCCCTTTTGCTAAACCAGAGGTGACATGATTAATCAGTTAATTTGTGTAATAATGTAATTCTCCCTAGCAAACCTGAAAAACAAGTTCCAAGAGATAGTGGAACTAGGTCCAACTAAACATCATCCTAACCCTGAAATGGAATGTAATATGGTAATCTGTGCTGGCAGGAGGGTTTCTTACTTCTTATTTATGAATATGGTGCATTTTCAAATGTTCATTCTCTTAATCTCAGCCAGGAATCGAGGATGTCCTCAGATATCTTATGTGAACTCATGGAGAATTCAGCAAGAGTAGACCCCAAGGAGGGGGGAGGAGAGGCAAGCCGTACCCATATAGCTTCCATCCCACAATTTACTCACAAACATTGACTTGCGGCAACGCGGTCACCAGCAGCACTTCCTTAGCCACACCCATAAATCTTCCGGCAAAATGTCTTTACCTTTGAATGCTAAATAGAGAGGAATACACCTTTAATTTCAGATTTTAAAGACGTCAGGTCATGGAATCTATTATTTTTGTTATTATAAGTAAACATTCTCGCTCACTGGGGCAATAGTTGTAACATTTTTGTTAAAAACTGTGATTTATTGCAACATCAGCGCTATACAGGCGCGACTTGCCTTCCTGCCGTCAACCCAACCGACCTACCAAAGAAGACGAAGAATATTGAGGTCAGAAATAACTAAGAAGAAACCGCAGACCTCGACATAGTTAAATTTCCATAGACACTCTGAAGATGAAGGAATTGCCTAAGCCAGAAATGAACCCCTTGTATGTCCCATGGACTGGCCTCCTTTTGAAGTATGGTAAAAGATACTGACTTAATTAGTGTCAGTAACATATTTATCAATAATGTTACCTGGATTTTCCTTTTGTGTCTTGACGTTTGGGTTTGTGCAGTGATGCTGGTTTGGAGACTGGTGCAGATTTAGGAACTGGTGCAGGTTTAGAGACTGGTGTAGGTTTAGGGACTGGTGCAGGTTTAGGGACTGGTGCAGGTTTAGAGACTGGTGTAGGTTTAGGGACTGGTGCAGGTTTAGAGACTGGTGCAGGTTTAGGGACTGGTGCAGGTTTAGGGACTAGTGCAGGTTTAGAGACTGATGCAGATTTGTCAGAAATGCTTGTATAAATAGGGGGGTTGTATGTATGACCATACCCATAACTGTGTTGATATCCATATCCATATCCATATCCATATCCATATCCACATCCATATCCATATCCATATCTATATCCAAATCCACTGTTGTAATTGCTGTAACATAGGAAAATATTCTGTAAATATATTAAAAACAAAAAAAAAAATTAGAGATAAAAAAGTTAAACCATTTTAAAACTAGATAAGCTCATTGTTTCTCCTCCCAGAAAAACATACAAACATTTTCATCAGCCAAAGTAAAGACATTATAAGATAAGTGCGATACAAGATCAGCAAAGATTAATTACAATTTACTTTGTCTTCAACCTTAATTATAATTTTGAAAAGGAGGACATATTGGTACCTGGGTTGAACTCCATATGCTAAACTTGGATTTAATACTGAAGCTCGACTGTTGCTGTTATTGTTGCTACTAATAAGGAAAATATTCTGTCAATATAAAAAAAAATCAGCCAGGGAATAAAAATTGATGACAAATTTAAACAGTTTTAAATGAATAAGATTGTTCTTTCCCAGATATATCTAAATTTCATTAATCATCAGCCAAAGTAAAGATGAGACCAATGCAAGATTAGTAATTCAGCAAATATAAAATTACAAAAAAAATTATAAATCCAATAGATAAGAATATTGTCAAACAGAAGTTAAAAAACTTTTCTTTAAATCTGCAATAATAATTTTCGTATATTTATTTTGGATGTTAAAAGCTTGAGCTGCTAAATATTAATTTCCTACCTGGAATTGAATTGTACTTTTTTCTTTTTAGTTTTACTCTTACATGGAGTCTTCACCTGCATATCCTGAACATAAATAAAATTAGGTTCTAGTAATTAAAAACGTAAAATTATCACGTTCAGAAGTTTAAATTAAGTGATAAACCCAGTATTAACCAAAGCTAACCATCATTATCAACCATTATTAACAGTGCTTAGGTTCCATTTAAATTTGATGCGGATCCGGATCCTGGATTCACACTGGAAAAAAATGGATCCGGATCCTTATCCAGGTCATTTCTTTAAGATTTACTGAACTTTTTTAAACAAAAAAATAATTTTCCAATTTTTTAAATATTTTTTTCGCTTATTTTTATCCTTTTTAAAACTTGATAATCCAATTAAAATGAAGAAATTATTATAATCTCGTTTTTTTTATAAAAGTTCAGATTTTGGTTTTAGGAGTAAAATAATTTTTTATGCAGTGTTTGGTTGATATTTTACCCCTTGGATCCGGATACTAAGCATTATTAATGACCTAATAGTTAAAAATCTTTAAAAGCATAATACAATTATAGAAAAAAATATGATAAAGAATGATTTGAAGAAAATAAAACTATCTAGCTAAAGGTTCTTAACAAGATGGTAAAAGGAAATATCATGAAAAATTAATCTTAGGAACCCCTGGGCCTCTCAGCTTTTGTACATCATTCCTTCCACTTGAAGGTATGTGAACCTGAGATATATGTACTTACCACCATATAAGCAGTTTCATTGGTCCGAACCATGTGGGCAAACCAATCTCCAAACTCAAAAGTCAACCTAATTAACACAATAAATTTCATGTTTGTTTACATTATAGATTTTGCTACTTAAAACATTTAATTATTTTGTCTGAATGAGTTAACAAATATGAGGAGGTCTCCAAATCCAATCCATATTTCTAACACTGAAGTGCAACTAAGTTATAGGATTTGTAAAAGTCATGCTTTGGAAATAATGTTAAGCAAACAAATCAATTTTCAAGTGTTTATGAACAACCACAAAACGTTTCTTGCTTTTGAAAATAAGAAAACTATATCACTCTTTAAACACTTTGGATTCTCAAAGTTGTTATATTTTTTTTTAATTAAAACCAACCTAACCTACCTTATTTTCATTACTTTGCTTTAAACTTAATTCAAAAGTTGTAAGAAAAGTACGAGTTTATGTAAACCTTGCTTGTTAGGTTAGAGAGAATTCAGCTCTTTTAAGAAATAACCTGCAAGTATCTGGTATGCTTCTAAGAAATGTTTCGAGGGAGGAAAACCCAAGATTCTAAACAAACACAGCGTCAAAAACCAAAATATCTATCTGAGCATGTCTTGTTAATAAGTATTGAATAAATTAACAGATTAGTTTGTGGTTTTATAGAAAGATCTTCACGGCAAAACTCCAAATGTTTCCCAACTATTTTAGGGACAAAATTGTACTACTGAAAATGGCTGACTTACTTTTAAAGACAAATTTCACAATAAAAAAATAAAATTAATCCTTTTGAATAAAATGCAAGAGAAAATGTTCTCTAAATAAATATGTTTAATGTCATCTAATGTTTCTAAAATTTTTACTTTTGATTTAATTGATTAATTTTTTAAAATTCTAATATTTAAACTCACAAAGTATTCTTTAAAAAGTTTGATGCAAAATAGAGTTTGGAATAATTATCCGCTTTTGATTGTAAGAAATATATATACCTTAAATTGAAAAGTTTCATCCAGCATTTGCTCATATTCAGCCATAAAACTGCTTAATCTGAAATCATGAATTAAGAGCTATTGCTTAGCCTTTATTTGGAAAACAGATCTGGATCCAGAGCAGATCTAGAACCAGCTCATAAATCTTTCACCAAGTTAGACTAATTTTCTTAAATACAGAAAGATTCTGGAAACTCTGTTATACTATATTTAAAAATGTCCATGCTGCAACTGATCTGATCTATGATTAGGAAAATAAAAAAAAGGATGTTGATTTCTCCCACTTGGATTAAGATATAGTAAATTATACTTATAAAGTTTAGTACCTGACACCAGCTTTTCCATTTGACACTAATAAACACCTGAAACAAGTGTTTCATACAACTAACTTTAGCTTTTGCCCAAAATATTCATCCTAGTTTTATATTATGATTATATTGAAATTAAGTGTTCAAGATTACCAAAACTCCACACAAAAGTTCCAACCACTGTGCAGAAGTTGAGATTTTTTTGTTTTTATTTAATCATTTAGGTGAAATGAATTCAATATTCTATGAATACCTGATGTTAGATTTTATTTGAGCAAGCTCTCCCATTTTGACTTAATCAGTCTGAAAAGCTGTTATTTACAAATATAATTACAGTGACATGGTATTTAATGTTTCCAAAGAGTACTATTAACCCTATTTAATACAATGCATTTTTTGGCTTATTATTCTTACGCATTATGCTACCCCCATTTATATAAGCTCAAATTATCCTATTCAATTTCATCTAATTCCCTATCCATTCATCATTTAACTTTTGGCTAATCCCATGTCCCTTTTTTTCAGACAAGAAAATTTACTTCCTTGGCTTTGTTTAATGTCCCTCTGATGCTGAGTTCAAAATGAATTGCAACATTATTGCTTCCTGAGGGTAATTCAATATTTAAATCAATTCCCATTCTTAATACATCTCCAACCATTGTGGCCACATTAAGATCTCCCACAAAACACATTTATACCCATCATTTCCTTATATTCGTAATTCTTTTCCCAACTTTGCATAAATCATGTCATTTTATGTCTTAAAATCAATGTATATTGGGGATTCAGAGGCCATGTAAAGACTCGTTTTTTTTCTGTTTTAAAATATTACCCAAGCCCTTTAATTATTAATTGATTCCTTGTCCTCCTTTCATGATGACCACTTAATTGATTAAACTTTTTTAGACAGCAATATCATTTATTCCTCCTATTTACTATAAATTGAATTTCCAGTCTTTGCATTAACCCTAGCTTTTGTAAAACCATTCACTGTTGAATTTAAACATTAAAAATATTTATCATACTGGGCTAAATCTTTTCTTTCAATCCTTTACTAAGATTTAAGACCTAGCCCTTTTCTCTGAGTCACAGCAGAATATTGCCACTCCAGTATGTGATAATTGCTAAATGCAGACCATTGAATCCATTCCAAGAGAAAGATCTAGAAAGACAACTTAAAGAGTGGACAACAGGTGATGTATTAAGCCTAGTGTAAGCCATTGGGTGTCAGCGCTAGTGCCCTGCAAGAAGAAAGGGACTGACAAGCTGAGATGGGTTGTCGAGTACAGTCAGATCAAGCAGCTGACACAGAAAGATATGTTACCCATGCCAAGTATAGAGGCAAATTTTCATAAGTAATCAGGAGCTAGCATCTTCAGTTGGTTGGAAAACGCTGGAGCATTTCATAGTCTCTCTATCCACCCTGCATCAAGAGACTATACAACCTTTACTACTCCCTTTGGAACCTATCCCCACAAATACATGGCCTTTGGCCTCACCAGCAGCCTGAGTGTGTACTACAGATTGGTACAACAAGCATTAAGCAGATTGCTTCCGAACTTTGACATCACCTGTCTTGATGACATTCTCATCTACTCCAACAACATCATAGAACACTTTTGTTTGGAGATGGTCCTGAAAGTACATGCTCAATGTGGGATAAAGCTCAGTTTGGCTAAGTGTAGGATTCTGCAGTATACAGTGACCTACTTGGGACACCTTGACAGCAAAGACGGAGTAGAGATGGTAAAAGAGTACGTGGAGTAAATCAAGTACTGGCCTATACCTACCACAGGCAAAGAAATGATTTCCTTCCTTGGTTTCACCTCATATTACAGAGGGTTTATCCAACAGTATGCTGACACAGTGGCACCTCTGATTTACTATAGATAAAGCTGACAGCAGAAGAGAAGGAGAAAATACAAGAGATAAAAGAACTGTTCCTGACCCAACCAATCTGTGCTTATCCTGACTATAACTCGGAGAAACCATTCATTCTGGACACAGACTTTTCCAGGATTGCTGCAGGAAGAGTATTAGCTCAAGTCCAAGGGGAACAAGAACGCTTTATTGCATGTTTTTTAAAGTCCCTGGACACAACCCAGCAGAAATACCCTGCACATAAAGGAGAATTATTAGCGGTCATATTAGGACTCAGGAAATTTGAACATAAATAGAATGTACAACCTATACTTGAATACTGTATGCAATTTTATTTAGGGGAAGTATGTTAGAAATGAGAAAGTAGGCCAGCCAAAATTGAATCCCGCACTGAAGGATTTCTCTCAACTGAAGATGAGTCTGAAAATGAAGTGTGTATCTATTTTTATCAACAGTATCCAGAATTTTTTCTTTTTCTACAAAATTAGTTAGTTCGGTTGACTCATGTTTAATCAATATTTAAATAAATAGGTATAAATATAGATTGCAAGTTCCCAAATATCAAGAAGATGATGAAAGCGTTTAGGAAGGTTAGTTTTATAAACTCTTAAAAATATTTAACAATTTATTTAACTTCAAATCAAATAAAACAAATTTTTATATTTTTATGTTATTAATTCTAAATCTTCTTTAGGACAATCTCATACCACTCACCATTAAGAAATACCGGCAGATACAATTGATAAAATATACAAACTTATTTATCATGTGGATATGGTGCTAAGTAATAGGGAGAACAAGGTTGTGGCTGAGCATTGTTTGAAATCAATCCAGATTATCACAACAAACTCCATCATATAGCCCAGTGGGTGCACAGGTTAATGAAAATTCTATTTTTAAGAATGAAAACATCTATTATAATTTAATACATAGAATTAAATTCTAAATATTTTTAGCTCATTGATATTTGATTTGTCATTTGATATGTGTCATGGTGTGGAGAACATCGACAAGTTGAAGGTTGAACACTTTGTGAAAAAGGATGATGAAAATAGACAAATATCCAACTGGAAAAAGGAAATTCAATAATCCATTTAAATCCTAATTGATAGAAAACCTTTTTAATTAAAAGAGAAAACAAACAAATCTTCCCATTTTTTAAATTAAAAAGTTGAATTATTGATATTAAGGTATCGTTCAAAAAAGATAAAAATCACAAAGTTGGACAGGGAGAGATGGACAATTCAGGGTTCATTCCGTATATCCAGATCAATGAATACTTTAATCATGGTGCTCTCTATGAAAGATATCTCTCATATCTTCCTTCTCCAGAGTCTGGAACAGCATTCCTGTTTAATCAGCCAAAGGTTCTGTCTAAAACCTTTAACTGCATGGATCCAGATTCCAAAGTTTTCTATTAAGCTAAGAAGAAGGTTGGAATTATTACTGTAAGAAACATGCTTCTGGAGTTATGTACAGCAGTAGGAGCAGAACGACAAACCAACCATCTAAACTTATTTTTATAACAAGAAAGTTAGTACTTTCAATGCAAAAGAAAAACAGTTTTTTTTCTATTGTGAAAACACAAAGCGCTTCTTTCTATAATTTTCAGTCTGAATAATTATATTTGTTTTGGTGAGATGGACAGCTAGTCACGCTCTTCGAAGAGCTGGTGTTGCCACTGAGCAAATTATGAAACTGACAGGTCATAAAATATTGAGAGTCCGCTAAAATCTTATGATCACACCCTGGATGCTGGAGATAAGATTAATATGGCTTTAACTATAGGCTATGCAGCTCAGCTAGGTCAGGGAAATATGAGCAAAGGTGAAGGACTGATGATTAAAATTTTAACCATTGTCGTTGCTATTAAGATTGAAATTCAATTTCAAGAAATTTTATTGAGATAAATTTTTTTTGAATATTGATTAAAACATCATAAAATCATAGTTTATGCAAATCTGCCTCTTCAGAAGTCCAATAGACTCTTGGAAATCAAATATTTTGTTCCTGGTGCTAAAAATGAGGACGTTGTTTCTAACTTTGACATTGAAGATATAGTAGTTTAAAACTCTTATACAAGTGTAGAGTTTTTATCCAGTGAAGATGAAGTTCTCGTCCAGGTTTCACAGCAATATGATAAAGAAATGGCAGTCAAAAAGAGAAAAGTTCCTGAACCTTTAAAATCTCTCTCTCCTGTATTCTCATCCAGGGAAGATGAATTGTTGATAGAGGAGTCACAGAAACTTGTAGAACTAGCAGCCAAGAAAAGAAACCATCAGCAATCCACAAAATCCTCAGCTACTGGAATTGTCCCGGGTTACGACCATGTTTATAGTTTGGCACGAAATTGTGGGTTAAGCAATTTATACAACTCAGGTTTTTACCTGGCACTGAGCATGGAATTTAATCATTGTTTAACACCTCTTCCAGCAGTGTTGCCTACAGTAACCTCATTTCTAACAATGTGTTCAGCCCTCTCATTCCTGGCAAGTTGAATAATCATGCTTATTACAGCATTTTTGCTACAGTGAGGGATATTGACAATCAAAATCCATACTTTTTGGATAATAACCCATTGCTCCTCTACCAGAACTCTGTGGAAGCTCCATTATTCCAGCAGAATCGATTCTTGATTCGGAACAGTCGAAAAGAGTAAGTTTAACTATCACTAGTTCAGTTCCATCCAAGCAGAAAAAATCAGTTACAGAAGATCTCAAAGTGGAAGTTACATTTTCCAAGTCTGCAGATTACACTGAAAATCAACCATCTAAATCAACTGATGTCCCAGGCAAGACCAAACAACAAAGTCTACCAAGTAAAATTCATTCTGAAGAAAAATCTAAATCTGCTGAAAAGGAAGAGTTGACTTGGTCATTAATGGGAGGAAAGTCAGGAAAGAATTCAAGAACAGGTAATTTATGAAGACAGTCAACTGTTCTGTTAATCCCTTGTTCTTACAATCAAAGGAGAAATTCAAAATGTATGAATTATTCAGTCCTGGTTTAAATTAAGACAACAGAGCAAAGTTGATTGGAGTAAGCCTGCTGCAGTTGAAGACCCAAAGCCTTCTAAAAAGAAGAAAGAAAAATGGGTTCTACAGTAGACTAGAATCCTAATCAAGAAATGATTTGACAAAGATTTTTTAGTTTGTGAATTTTTAGTCTAGTTTTCGCTTCAAGAACTATTTTTTGTTGATTTTGATAGTTTTGTCATATCATTTAAGATTAAAATGGACTATCCTGAACTTCATTATTTCATAGTTTTAAACATTAAAAAGGTAAGTGAGCATGAAAAGGTAAGTGAGCATGTTTGAAATAAATAAAAAAGGTAAGTGAGCATGCTTTTTTATATAGAATAAACAAGGTAATTAGCATGAAAAAATAAGTGAGCATGTTTGAAAATAGAATAAAAAAGGTAAGTGAGCATGCTTTTTTAATATAGAATTTGTTTATCCAACGCTTTTTAATGTCAAATTTATTAAATATTCATAATATTTAATAACCGTGTAAGAATGAATATTCTTCAACTAGTGAAATAATTTTCATTCTTTAACGCTTGGAGCGTGTAAGAATTTGCATTCTTTCACGCTCCGACCGTGTAATAATTTCCATTCTTACACGGTCTGAGCGTTAAAGAATGAAAATTCTGCACCTACAGTGTAAGAATAAGCATTCTTAAACGCTAGGAAGCAAACAATAATAAAATTAATCCTCCTGAACCGTGTAATAATGGGAATTCTTACACGATAGGTTTACTACTATGGAACCGAACAGATATGATACAATGGAAATTATTACACTTGTTAAAGAATATTGATTCTTACACACTCCTTATATTGATCTTTTCAACATAGATCAATATAGATATTAACTTAATTATTTTGTACTGACAACATGGACAGGGCAAACTCACCTTTTTCTTTAATATTAATTCATGCACTTACCTTTTTATACTTTAAAATAACATGCTCACTTACCTTTTTCTTTAATATTAAACCATGCAAACTTACCTTTTTTACTTTAATTAAACATGCAAGCTTACCTTTCCATGCTCACTTATCTTTTTCGTTTTTTGAAGTATTGATATATCTTAATACAGGATTTTCTGTTTAAATCTTAACCTTAGTCCTGACAGAAGAGTGGAACCCCCTGTGTTAAATTAACATTTTCTAACCTTTCCAAAAAAAATAAACCAAGTACTTAAAACTTTAAGCCTTCCATTGGACATTTTCATCAAACTACCGAGTCTCAAAGAATACTGCCCGACTGCATACTTTTTTCATTTTGTTTTTAGTTTTTCTTCATTGGAAACCAAGTTTGGTGAGATTTTGCAAATCTCTGCATATTTTTAATAGTACGGTCAGAGCTGTTCAAAAATGGAAAGGTTTGTCTTGTCTTCACAATTTCAATTTATTGTTTTTCACTTTATAAAGTTTTGAACCTCTGCCCGACTCAGCAGTCACCATATCTCGCATAGCTCGAGAAGATGAAATGAAACCACAATCAAAACCAAAAAAAGTTAGTTTATAAAAACTTATCAATGAAATACTAGTGTCACAAACTTTTAATGAGGTCTTAGCACTCCATACTCCATAGCAATAAAAACAAACCAGTAATCTTGCTTCATGAATAAAAGACACAAATCTTCATCAGTTCATGTCGAACTGATTCTTACTAGATATCCTGCGTTTATCTCCTCTTTTTAGAAGATTTAGGATCTAATATCCAGGAAATGATTTCTTCTGTAAATGATTTCACAATTTTGTTCAGTAGATTAACACAACCCACTACAATACCTGCTCCCCATCTAAAAAAAACTCAGGGCACATTCAATATGCTGTATCTAAATGTAGTATCAACTTGAAAAACAAGCAAATTCATTAGAAGTTGGTTAACAAACAAACTAAACTAAGGAAACAATCACACCACAAGCATTATTTTCAAATTAAGAACCCATTTTTACCTAAAAATGGTTTTTAACATTTTGTCATTAGAAAAATAAAAAACAGTGATAGTCAGAACAAGAGCATAAAACTTATTTGCAACCTTTCATAATGTTAACTGTTCCAACTTAAAATAGTCGGATTTCACCAGAATTATTTTTTACTCTAATTTCTTGGGTACGTGCCCATGGAACCTCACAAATATGATATAATAATCTTATGAGGATAAAAATGTAATAATGGAATTCTTACATTTTTTTCCTCATAAGATTATCATATTTCTACACGGTCTGCACGTTAAATAATAAAATTATTGTACGGTCTGCGCGTTAAATAATAAAAATACTACACATACAGTGTGAGAATATGCATTACTAAACGCAAGGAAGCAAAAAATATTAAAATTGTTCCTTCTGTACCTTGTAATAATGGGAATTCTTGCACGATAGGTTTACTACTATGATACCGAACTGTAAGAATGAAATGATGCTATATAGTAATTATGTATAAGGTAGGTATATACAGTCCTACCTGTACGGATATATGTGATCTTCTCCAACGTTACAGGACTATGTCCGGTCTCTTCTCCAAGATGGGCGGGAAGAGCATGTAAGCGATGGAGTGGGTATCAACTGTTAAAGAATGTAGACCGGGACGAGGATAACAACAATCTGACCAAAGTCAACCCTCAACTAACAGAGGTTTGGGAACATCCTATCTGAAATATTCAGACGTTCACCTGAGATTATAGCTTTTGTGAACATGATATAATTTACAATACATAAACAAACAATCCATTGAGAGTGGAGTGAAGTCTGAAGGAACCAGAAGGCTGGGACTTACTCAGGGAACTCCTGTAAGATATAGGAGTTTATTCCGTTACCCTGTTTCTCCTCTCCTTTGGCTTTTCTCTCTTTTTGTTTTTGGCAAGGATTGCTTTGTTTGTTTTATATGTTTTAATGTTTCCCAAACATGTGTAGCTTTTTGTAGTCGACTTGTTGGCGGGTTCTGGAAGATCTCCTCCTTTAATGGTTCGAAACTGGTAAGATGTCATCTAGATTGACTACTGAGTTAGGTACAGGCTGGTGAATAAGTCTCAATATCTCTGTACAGTCCTGTACTTGATTTAGATCTAAAGGAGCAGAATCCTGTTGAGAAACTTCCTGTTCAAGGTCATCTGAAGTATTCAGAAGAGAAAATTCATTCCTGTCTTCCATTCTGTTATCCCCTAAGAAGTAGGGATCAGTATCTGATTTTAAGCTTGAAGATTTGTGTTCTGTAGGAGAATTAGAGGGTTCACAGCTTGATTGTTGAAGGGATATGTCAGCTGAGGTGTGCGACTGGTAATCATGATAAGATTGAAAATCGGAATAGTCCCATAGTTCATCCTGTTGACCAGCAGGGTCATCATCACTACTAATGTAGTTAAGGAATTCATCAGGGGACTCATCATTATCAGTGTCTTCACTATCTGAACTGAACACTCTGTCAGTTTCAGAAATGTTAGGAATTGAATCAGGAATTGGAGAAGAGGGAACCAATGTTTCATCATCTGAATCTATTGAAGATCTGACCAAGTTTGGCCTGGGGAGATCTGATTTAGGATTGAAGGGGAGCCAGAACATTTCATCATCATCCTCATCATCACTATTGATGTCATCCTGAATCCATCCATGAGATGGTGGGATTTGAGGAGGAGAAAGTGAATCATTTGATAAATCCACTAGTTGCACAATAGGATGAGGCTGGGTTGGAAATCCATGAAAAAATTGCTCTTGGCTGAGATCTTCAGAAATTGGATAATCTTTAACATAGTCTGGGTACTTCAAATTTGGCCTACCCCTGTTTTTTGGTATGGATTCTGAAAGTTCTTTTATAATTTGCTGAAGTTTAGTGGTTTCTGTCTCAGACTGCTGTGAAGGAAAACCTTGAAACTGAGGGGAAGAATCTGTGTACTGATCAACATGTGGAGCAGCTGAATTAGCAGTGAAATTGTTGGAGACATGTTCAATCTCTGATAATTTTGCTTCATACTTTCTTGATCTAAACTGACTCTCAAATTTCTGCAGGGAAGCCCAATCCATTCCGTTTTTTTTTATAGAGGTTGGTTATAATATATTCTTCTCTAGCATGAAGTTTAGAAAGATCTTTTAATATGAAGACTCTATCACCTATGTTAAAAACTGAGTTTGAAGATTTAGAATCCTGAAGTTTGATGTTGTGCTTTTGGTTGACATCTGAGCGAAGATTGAATTGGAGGTTAGATAATTTCTCATCCTCAATATGTATAGGCTTGTTCTGAGAGATGTCTCTTCTGAGGAGCATTTCTTTGGAAGACAATCCTCGGTTTCTTATTCTTGAATTCATGTTTCTGGTTATAATTATTCTTTCATTTTCTGAGATTGGACCTCCCATGGGATTGAGACGGAGCCTTTCTTTTCTAAATTCCTTGATGGCCTTCTCAGCAATTGGGTTTTTATTTGGGTTAATAGTCTGGCCAATTTCTAGTTTAATTGAATATTTTTTAAGAACATCATCTGTCTGAATGTCATCATAAGCTTTATTTATAGATTGTAAACCAGGGGCAGCATCAACCCTAACTGTTGTTCCAGAAGGAGGCATGATATGTAGAACTGAATCTAAGATGGCTGATCGGAGTGTTTCTGCTTTCTCATCAGGAATTATATGAGAGAATGTGAATTGGGTCAATTTCTCTCTGCATAAGAAAATCTTCTGATTGTCAGAGACCAATACATCAGCTGAGAAATGTGAGCCAAGTGTTTCTATTTTCTCAGTTGAGAAAGTTGACAAAGTCTTTGGAAGAGTTGACAAACTGGTACAAACCTGACAAGATTTATGGATGTCATCTATGGTTTGAGTTGAACCAACACAATGGAAGTAACGATGAGCAAAGCGGTACATTTGGTTTCGAGAAGGATGTTCCAGCTTAATGTGTAAACTTTGTATTATAGAAGGATAAAGTTGCTTGGGGACTGATATTGCATCATACTCAATGCTTGAGGATGTATCAATGTGTTTAACTATAATGAGACCATTGTGATCTACTCTAAGTAATCCTTTCATGTACATATTATACATAAGTTTTAGGTTAGTGTGTCCTCTCAATTTCCTTTCAGGCTGCAAACCTCCAGAAGTGATAAGCTTATAAAGTCTGTTGTGAGTATCATCATCCTTCTGAATTTGTAACCAAGCTGGTTTCTCAGTAAGAGGAAGACGAGCAGATCCTGACAGAATGTCAGATACAGAGACAGAGTTAACAGTGCATATGTTGACACATGATTCACCTATTTGGCATTGTTCTGACATAAATTTACAAATCTGGCAGCGTTATTCAGAACATGGTTGTGGGTTTCTGGATCCATAGTCAGCTACTTTAGTATCAACGCCAGGGCAATGTTTAAGATCAATATTTTTTTCAGACGAGGATAGGAATGCTGCTACTTTAGAAGATGTTGATATTATTCCCTTCTTTAATCTATTCCAAGCATGGACAGATATCATGTTATCAGGGTGAATAATGGTGGTATTGTACGATTCTTGGATAAATGGTTTTAAATGCTATTAAGCTTAATACCTAAAGCCTCCTTTTCGCATGGAGTCCATCTAGACTGGCTTTGATCTAATCTAACAGAGAAAAATCCTCCATTTTTTCTATGAACAGAGCCATCCTCCATTCTTTCAATCACAAGGTGGCCTCCAACAGCATTTGCTGATTGTCAGGTGTCTGGGTAGATATGTAGAATATCAGATGGTTTGGGGATAGTTATAGATTGTGAGTGTTTTAGGGATTTCTTTGCTGTATTAAAGCTTTCTAAAAGTGGTGGAGTCCATTTAATTTCATCCCGTGATTTTCTACCTGCAGTTTCCTTTTCAAGTAAGGTAAGTGTTATTGCATGATCCTTGATTGTCTCTGACAGTTGTCTGTATGCTCCTATCCAACCCCACAGTTGTTTGACAGTTTTTGGGGGTTGAGATGATGACAAAGGTGTCATCACATGAGAGGTGGGAGACCTTTGATCTCCAACCTTCTTCCAACCAAAAAGAATGGTTGAGATAGGGCAAATTAGAGGGCTTAAATGTTAAGCCACATTTCTCTGCTCAAGATAAAACCTCAACAAAATTATCTGAGAGGGTTTCCAAAGTATCACCACCTATGTACAACCCATCAGCCATGCCGGTCATCTTCTTATCTTTTTCCAGGTCACCAAATATTATGCTTAAACGCTCACTATTATGTTCACTAGCGTTCCTAATACCCTGGGGTTCACGAGCATAGCATCTAATTCCTCCAAAGGGGTGAGGAGTGGCTAAATAGCTGCTGTCTTCTGGAGACATCTGACCTTGCCAGAAACAATGAGATAAGTCAAGTTCGTTAAAGTATTTAAACGAAGATAGCATCCTTTTGGCCTGTGAAATAGTTGGGGAAATAATCTCAAGTTTACCAATGAATCGAAGAAGGCTAGTAAAGTCTGTCACAAATCTATGGGAACCATCTGATTTTGGGACTAAGTAGGATGTGTGTACATTCTTTACAGTTATCCCCAGATCATGAGGTTTTTTAAGAACCCCCCAAGATTCCATTTCACCATTATGTTGGCCATTTCAACAAGTTTGTCATGTGAGTAAGATGGTAGTCGAGCTTTGTTAGATGCTGGAGGGGGCTGTATAAAATTCAGTGAACAATCTACATTTCCATAGAAACCATTGTAACATCCAGGAATAGATGTGATAATGTTAGAATATCTCTCTAATATCTGATAAAAATTTTGTTTCCAGTCATTAGTTAAAACATTATCAGGGTCAATTAATGCCTTGGATATTTCAGACTCAGTGGGGATAATTTTGTACGTAGATGCAACATGATTATGTTTAGGATAGACAGGATGTGGAGTAGTGAGTGGGAATATGTCACCATAATGTTGATTCTTAGTTATAGATAACGGAAAGTTAGTGAAATTGGAGATTTGTACCTGATGATTAATCGGTGTGCACATTTGAGAAGGAAGAGATGATCTATCAGCTTGTGGAAGAACACGAGGAGTGAAGAGTAGCTGATGTTCGTTGTGGAGCATGGAAGGTAAATCTACTTGAATTTTATCACCAGGAAACATTATCATGTCATTAGTAGCTCTGCAAATAAAATTAAGGCTAAATAAAATTGGTTTAATCTCATAGGGTACAGATACAGGAGCATCATAAATATCAAGGGTGGATATAACTCTCTGAGATGGTACAGTGGATATAAAATTGTCTTTCTTACCAGGTTCACCCACAAGGATTGGGCAACCTAGGTTTCTGACTACAATACATTTTTTTAGATTCCAACGGATAAAATGTTTCTTAAAAGTTTTGTGAAGGATAATATCCTCCTTGGTTTCTCCCATGACAGACATTGAGTGGGATCCAGCAGCAGTAGCTTGGTGAACTGTCCTGGAAAAAGGTATGTTACATGTTTTTAAGAACTCATGACAATGACATTTATTTCTGATCCTTCATCAATGGTTGGGTATACAGACACAGAGTTTAAAGTCATATCAAGTGAAGGTGACTTCTCTTTGCATACACTAGAAGACAATCTTGATTCAATATTCCTAACCTGTAGGTTAATTTGATCCATCCAGGTTGATGTAGAAGTCATTTGGGTCTCCAAATTGTTCCTGATAATCTGTTCTGGTATCTGAAAATGATTTATTGTAGGAACACAATCAGTTGAAAGATTTTGGAGCTCACCTTGTTCAGAGAATTCAGTAGCTTGTGGCTGATCATCCATTTCAGACTTGCGTGATTCCGAGTGTAGAGTATGAACAAATCGATATAGGTTCTGGGGAAAAGAACAAAAAATTATTGTGAAGACGAAATGTCTGGGAACGGATATAGAATGGTTTACCAAACCAAATAATNGGGAGTTCTTTAATCTGATTTAAATAAAAATAAATAAAATTGTAATAAGCAATCATTTTCTATGTTGAAAAAATGATTTTTAGAGTGTAGACTGAAAAGAGCACAGGGGGCAAAGTTTGAAATTGTTGAAACAAGTTTTTCATAATCAAAATTGAAAAAAGGTTCGAGATGGAGACACAGACACAATGATAGGGATTAAGAAGTCAGCAGAACCGGTTTTCAAGTGGTTGTCTCAACAGGAGGATGATTTAATAAGTATATTAGCGATGCCGGCACCGGCACCTGGGAATCCTGATCAGCTGAACAAGATCAGAAACCACGTCAAAGAACTTCAAAATTCGCTCTCCATGATTATGATAAGGATCGTCGACGGTGAAGAAGTTTATAATAAATTTATGAAAGGTTCTGGTGGAAAAATACCGGGGTTGAGTGCAGAACATGAGAAACTTAGAGCTGCGTACAAGAAGGAGAAAGAAGAAGATCTAAAGATGAAAGAGAAAGAAAAGAAGGAGCAAGAAAGAAATTCGGCGAAATCAGAATTCAGGATGCAGGGCATGATCGGAAGGTTTGGCGGAGAAAGGTTTCAGCCTTATTCTGGAAGGAAAACCTGGAATAATTATCCGTATCCTTCCGTTAACAGTTTCTCAGGTTTCCTGTTGCAGCACCCTGATAATCTATCTCTTGGTCAGTTTCCAAGCAGGTTTGTTCAGCCGGGTTTATCTGATGCAAACAAAATATCCAGGTTACAAATTGACAAATCTAATTCCAAATGTGTCCGCTGTGGAGTATTTGGACACTGGCACAAGGATGGAGTATGCAAACCAGAAGATATTGCTAAATATCAGTATGAAAGAGCAGTTCAAGGTCTGTCTACTTATCAGGGGTGGTCGGATCCTAATGCCATATACTACTCGAACCAACAGCCAGCCCTAAACTACTCAGGGAATTCATATGTCAACTACCAAGGAAATTAATCGTGTTTTACATATTCAAAGCTCAGTCAGAGTTACATATATTTACGTATTGTGATATAAGAATTTTATTTTTTGTTTTGTTTTTGTTTTTCCTTTAGATCGAATTACATATATATCACAATTTCACATTAATAGATTTTTTTTTTATGATTATTCACTGTCTCAATAAATAATCACGATTTATTTTTGTTAGATGGGGACAGTCATTTTTCAAAAGTTAATTGGGATTTTCCGGAAAAATGTTTCAATCTTTACCTAGAGAGTTTTTCGAAAAAACGGGTTCGATCTTGAAGATTCTGAGAGAAGTATCCATTCAAGTTCTAGCGTGAACTTTATGTCTAAGATTATTAAAGCTGATCCTTGGGTTTTAGAAACATTAAAACATGGCTTGGTTGTTAATCTTTCATCAGAACCAAAACCTTTTGAAGAGCGAAATAACAAAGGTGCTATTTTACACTTAGATATTCTTCGTGAAAAAGTCGATGAGTGGGTGTCAAGTGGGTTTGTTAAAAAATTAAACCAGAAACCGTGTTATGTCAATCCAATGCAAGTAGTTCGACAAGAAAATGCTGTTACAAAAGAAGTTAAATTTCGACCAGTCATAGACATGAGTAGAGTTATAAGCAAATTAGTAACATGTGAAAAAACTAAATTGGACGATTTATTGGTAGTAGAAACCCTGTTGTTAAAAGATGATTTTATGACGTCATTCGATCTTGAAAATATGTACTTTCATGTAAGACTCCATCCTGATTCTGTAAAATACTTCGGGTTTTGCGTTCCAGATATACAAGGAAATCCAGTGTATTATCAATTCTTAGTTATGTGCTATGGGTATAAAAGAGCCGTAGAAGTAGTTACAAGATTAACAAAACCTCTGAAAGCTTGGATTCATGATCAAGGTATTCTAGCTTTGTTATACTTGGACGACAATTTAACTATGGGACAGGGATACTATGAATGTAAATTTAAATTCAAATTAGTTTTACACGTTTTTCAACTGGCGGGATGGAAAATACGATGGAAGAAAACGATTTGTGAACCTAAACAGAAACTACAACATCTAGGGTTTATCTTGGACTCAGTAAATTTAAAGTATTGGGCTGTCGAAGAAAAACTTTATTTATTAGAAAAAGTTCTAGATGATTTACTAATTCAAATTACTTTCAAACAACCCATGGAAGCACGTCACTTAGCAGGAGTATTAGGAAAAATTCAAGCTTTAAAAAGAAGTCACGGGTCTATAGTTTCCATTTTATCAAGAGCTTCACAGCATAAATTAGGAAAAGAAGTTCTTGAGAGAGGATGGGAAACTTTAATTGAACTCAACAAAGATTGCTTTAATGAACTAATTTTTCTGAAGCAACAACTTTTTGTTACAAATGGACAGTTTATAAGAAATTCGTTATCTGCGGGAAAAATAATTGAACTTGAAGAAGTGAAGAAAATCGTGGAAATAATATCAAATACTTCCGAAAAAGTAGACAATTTATTTGTCTCCGATGCTTCCGAATCTTCGGCTTTTATTTTCTACAGTGGCGATTTTCATCTAGTTAATGATTTTGAGTTTGATAATTTTGAAAAGAACACGAGTTCAGGTCATCGAGAGCTTTTAGCAGTTGTAAAAACTTAAGAAAACGAAGAAAATGAAGAAGTATTTAAGAATCTAAAATCTAGAAGAATTTACTGGCAAACAGACAGTAAAAATAATTTCATTTTTATGTCAAGAGGTTCCAAAAAACCTGATATTCAAAGAGACGTCATCAAGTTTAAACTTCTGGAGAAAAAATTGGATTTAGAAGTAATACCAGTTTGGACGTCTAGGAACCATGAGAGAATAATACTAGCTGATCTTGGATCAAAATTTAGTCAAAGTTCAGATGAGTGGGGAATTCAACGTGAAATCTTAAATAGTTTATTCACAGTAATAGAATTTTGTCCATCAGTAGATTGTTTTGCTTCGTCCAATAACAAAATTTGTAAAAAATTTTTCTCAAAAATTCCACAAATAGCGACGAGCGGAGTTAATTTCTTTTGCCAAAAACTAGACGAAAGAGAAAATTATTTTTGTTGTCCTCCAACTAAATTGATCAATTTCACTTTTAAACATTTGACACAACAGACAATACACATTACTGCTCTACTTGTGGTTCCTGTCTGGAAGTCGTCTGCATTTTGGCCACTAATTTTCCAAGGAAACAAGTTTCACCCAAATATTGTTAAACATTTATTTTTCAATGGAAGATTTTTAAGTTTTAACAAAGTTGATACATTGTTTAGTAGAATAAATAGTCTCTAAATGGTAGCATTACTTATAAAAACATGATTGTTCAATGTTCAATATTAAATAATGTATTCGATGTGATTGGTAGATTATAGTGGATTTGAATTTAACAGTTTTCGAATAAGACAGACAATTTGTCGATTTTAATAAATAAATATATTTGAAGAATAGTTTGTTTTTCTTTTCAGAAAAAGTAACAATATGATGTCAAAAATGCCGATTAATTCAAACAAAACGACTTCAGCAAGGTGTTTTCCAGCCATGAACTATTTCAGGACGGATTCGAAAATGTGATAGCAATACTCTCTCTGAAGTTGTTTGTAGTTTGTATAGAATAGTCATAAAAAGTATTTGTTCTTTTCTCTAGGGCCTGTGTCGGTTTTTCTTACTCGGAGCTCGGAATCGTAATTTTTCTCGAAGTACTCCCAAGTCTCAAAACGAAGAGAAAAATTGTGTGATTCCGAGTGTAGAGTATGAACAAATCGATATAGGTTCTGGGGAAAAGAACAAATGGAATCGTAATTTTTCTCGAAGTACTCCCAAGTCTCAAAACGAAGAGAAAAATGAACATTACGAACGGAGGCATTCTGGGGGCAGGAGTGAGGGGAGTGAGAATAGTTTACATTCAAGTTTAATTTCTTGCCAATGTTATAACATGGTTGGCAAAATGGTTTACTCTGAAAGGTGGAAATGGAGTACGGGGACTAGGAAGACGTGAATTAGATTGTGAAAAGGTGCTGCGAAAGTTGTTCCGGAGAAATTGAGAACCTCGGAAGTTAGTTGGGGGTTGGCGGGGTCTATATGGCAGGGAGGAAACACGGCATACAGGGGATGGTTGTTCAGAAACCGAAACATCATTGAATGGTGCACAATCAGAAGAAATCTGTGATGTAGTAGAATAGTTTTCAGAACTTCTATGAAGAAGGGAATCAATGTTATCAGCAATACTTTTAACCAGGGATGGGATTGGAATTCCAGCTTTGAGATCTTTTGAGTATTCGAGCTTTACTAGTTTGATGAGGTTGGGGTCAATCTTGCGAAGCCAATCGAGAGCAATATGATTTCTATGGCTTAAAGTGAATTGGTCTGGAGTATCAAGAGTACCACCAGCTTGGGGGCCTCCATTAGTGCCAGCTCCACAAAGGTGGTTAATTGTGTGATAAACCAACCTATCATAGAGGTCAATATAACGCTCATCCTTCTCCAATTTAATGGAGTCATAATCAAGGAAAGAGGATGATCTAGGTTTGACACTGTAATGATCCCAGATAATATCCCATATATCTTGCATACAAGTAGTTGTTTTAGTTATCTGGTGAGTGAGATAAGGACCTGGAAGAAATGTAGCTAAGGTGTCAAGCAGGGCTTCCAAGTTATCTACCCTTTCAAGCATATCTTCACCTGTGAATCCATAATTAGAGGATTGGACCCATTTGCTTGATCTTTTAAAGAAGTTAGAGTATTCTGGGAATCTGCGAAAATAGTTACGAACAGATGTTTGACAGAGAGATAAAGAATCTAATGTTTCTTTCTTAGTTAGCTGTCTTGGATAGGGAACCTTTGGGAGTGGGTCTGCGGATCCTAGTTGGTCTGCCATCTCAACAGCTGGTATCTAATCT